CTTGTTTGCTTCTTTAAATAATACTATTGAATTTATAAGATACAACAAGTTCCAGTATTTATATATTTAATAAAACACTATTTACGTGCAGCTTTTAATAAAGATTTCACGTGGTTTTACTATAGAGGCCAATCATCTTTATTTTAATTTTATTCTAGCATATTTTATTAATTTTTTCATGTATACAAGAGTTCTTACTATCCCTTTGAGATGTATTTTTTCTTGTCTCAATAAACATACTTGAACTTGAACTTACATTCTTGTACGCATAGTGTTTCGGGCAGCTCCTTAATCTTAATTTTCCCTGAAATACGACCCGCCAAATCGTTTAACAGTCACTGCTGGGTCAACACAAGCATACAAGTTAAAGACTGGCGCCTAGTCAATCCTTCCCCGGTCAGGCTACGAACCCAGGCCAAATCGCTTGCGAAGAGCGAGTCGAATGTCTCACCACTGCGCCAAGGGATTTCATATTTCAAGTAGATGGTTGTGGAAAGGATTGTGTAGTTCTTGACCGTGATTTCGGCAAAGCTACTGAAACTACGCCTTACGGGAGACCCGCTATAGCAAGGTAGTTGGGACGGGTCAGCCTGCGACAGGACAAGTTTAAAACAAGACATGTTGTTACACACAGAGGTCACACTAACGTGATGCATCAAATGAACAAATCCACAAGGGCCGTGACGAGGATTCGAACCTGCGTCCGGGAGCATCCCAGACACTGCTAGTTTTAAGCCATGTTGTTGTTTTAGATTTAGCTACTCAGAACGAAGTGTCCATGTAGCACGGGCTATGGCGAGCCCGTAAAAACAAGACAACAAATGGTTCATATAATACCATTATAGGGACTGTGCAAGCTATAGTCAACCTCTCCTCACCTTCAATATAGACTTGTTCGGCTGAAGGCATAATGTTTTGTTCTTCTTTAGTACTTGGGCTGGACGGTAGAGCGTCATGCAGGTCGGTGTTCAATCCCCGACCGTCCACAAGTGGTTGGGCACCATTCCTTTCCACCCGTCCCATCCCAAATCCTTATCCTGACACCTCCTAAGAGCTATATACTCATAATGACTTGACGCTTTCTCTTGATAGTTCCCTTTCTTTTTTAGTAAGTCGGGAAACAGAAACAAAATATTAATTTAAAATACTGCTCCTTACTTCGCAATTATCAGTTAACTGACCTATCTCTGTTTTTATGGCCCTGTCCTTTTTCTAATTTTCATTTGTTATACCTGAAAATAATCTTTTAGGATTTATCTTTCCTTGTCCTGCTATACAAACCTCAGTTTCTTTTTTGCTTTCCTTATTTTTTAACACATGTAAATAGTCTGACAACTTCTTGTTCTAGATTGACTTCACCATTCTTAAACCTTTTGCACAAAGTTTCCTGTGCGCATTGCCTCTTTTTTCCATTATTATTATTCAAGAAATATAAATACTAATACATAATCTTTCATCTTTACGGCAATCATATCATGAGTATCCCAGTAACAGAATTTCTTGGGTCATGAGAATAATCTTGGGAGTATCCTCATGGCCTCATTTTGGACCTTCTCCAACGTGTTTAGTCTGCCTTTACCAAAACAATACACGTCAGGGGCAACATGGGATTCTTGTACTGTATTGTGATTTGTGTATTTGTATTCACTGAATTTGTGCGCCCCTTGAGGGACTTGAAGTGGAGGGGGGTAGAAATAGCCTAAGCTACTCTGTGATGTATTTTTTTTCTTGTCTCAATAAACTTACTTGAACTTGAACTTGAAGGGGCAACATAATCAGTAAAAGATCTCACAGTATGCCATGTGTTTACCAGTGAAATATGAAATATAGAATATAATTAATAATTGTGTACTGTATGGGTTTGTGAGGCCCTTGAGTTATCTTATATGAACGAGGGTAGAAATAGGCTAAGCTGCTCAACCCTTTTGAGATGTAACTTCCTTTTTGTCAATAAACTTACTTAAACTTAATCCATCTGACCTGATCACACCTGACCTGATCATACCTGACTTAATCACACCTGACGTGATCATACCTGACCTTATCCAGATCATCCTCCTGTTTTGGTAGTACTTATAGTAACGATGAGGACCATAGTATATATACCGACGTACGACGAAATTAGAAAGTAGAAATCTGAACTATTGAGACAAACCGGAAAACTATTCTTTACTTGTGTTGTTCTGACAAACTAAACTAATCAAACCTAATCTTCCTAGGCCTAATACACGATATCTGAGGCCTATTAGAGTACATATGTGTGCTATACTAAGCCTAGCAACATTTAAGTTTGTTTTTTAGCTTCATTTATTTTAAAAGAATTCCTTCCTAGTCAGTATACTACTATCAAAAAACTAAGTGTTTACGAATTAGTGACTATTGACGATCGTTACAATACTGTCTAAACAGGAGCTGACAATCGACTTGAGAATGGTCCAGGACGGACCGAAACGTCGTCGTCCCTTCACCTTCTAGTGTGTGGTCTGGTCAACATACTTCAGCCACGTTATTGTGTCTCCTCGCCCGCAACGGTTTCAAGTTCAACAAGTCACAATGTAGGACTGAAAACAGGACATGCATTTTCAGCCACAGGGGTATAAACCTTAGCCTCGGAACCACAAGGCTAAGGATAGAGGTCTCTATTGCCTTTATCCATTATCCATTATCCTCCTCTCAGGTCCAGTTGTGCGCGTTAAGAAGGTCCTCCCTCGGGTTCAAGTTCAAGTACGTTTATTGAGACAAGAAAATACATCTCAAAGGGATAGAGTAGCTTAGGCTATTTCTACCCTCCTCTACTTCAAGTCCCTCAAGGGGCGCACAATTACAGTGAGTACAAATTCACAAATTACAGTACAAGAATCCTCCCTCGGGTTGTTTATTGTGCACCTCATACTCATCATGTGAGCGGTAGAGCAAAAAGGATTACAGAGGGCACAAAAGGTCTTTATCAGACCTCAACGGAGATTATTACATAAATTATTTCATCTATCCTTCACACCTTATAATTATAATACCAGCTAGTAACAGAGAATGTTTTATTTATTTATTTATTTATTTATATACAAGAAGGTACATTGGGTTTATGAGAGTACATAAAATGATGTGTTCACACTCTTGTAAAGCCACTAGTACGCACAGCGTTTCGGGCAGGTCCTTAATCTAACAGATAATATTAAGTAGGTAATTTCAAGCAAAAATTTATAAAGTGTTAACAGGTACATTGTAAGAAAATTTGACAAAGATTAGTAGGTACATTGACAGTTTTGATCGATATTATTGATAGTTTGATATTGATAGCTTGATAAATATATTTTAAGAGCTATATATTTACAGTTAATCAATATACATTAATGGTAGGTCTTATCCTTAATACATAATTGTTTAAGGAATGGAGATATTACAGTCATAGGGGAGCTGCTCTTTATTATTATATCTTCACAATACACTACTTGTTTCTTAATCTCATTTTAACTATCGTTTAACTACTGGGAGCGAAATATGGATACAGTACAAGGATTTCAGGTATTTTATCCTTAGTAATAAGATGGTTTGCCATTTTATACAACGTGAGTTTAGATTTGTCTCTAAATGGCTCAATTTTACTACAATCCAAGATATAGTGTTCGAGTGTGTGTCCCTGCCTATGTCCACACACTTTACACTTTACTTCATCTAGATCCCTATACAAGCCGAACTGCCAGAGATACTTGTAGCCAAGTCTTATTTATACGAGCTGTGACAACGTCTGTTAGTCTGCTGACTTTGTTACTTGCCCCATACACATGTTTTACTTCACACATTTCATTGTGATGAACAATGGACCTGCTAGTTCCAAATTTGCAATGTTCTACTTTCTTCAAATTCATCCAAGAGTTTTCGTCGAATGACACTTTAAAGGGACCAATTTGATAACTCAAGATTCCGTTCAATACTGTCTTTATTTACTGCAATCAAGGGCGTCAACTTTATCATGTTCCTGCAGGCCAATGTGAGAAGGAATCCACAACATTTTGATATTTACCCTCTTATTTAGTATACATATATATTTATGTCTACCTTCCGAGACAATCACGTTATTACTTGATTGCAAACTATTTATTGCTAGTAATGAGCAAAGGGGAGTCAGCAATAATTAAGCTGGACGAGCCCAGGGGCCAGATTCACGAAGTTATGCAAACACTTAAGAACCTGAACCTCTTTTCTCAATCTTTGGCGGCTTTGTTTACAATTATTAAACAGTTAATGAGCTCCGAAGCACCAGGAGGCTGTTTATAACAATAACAACAGTTGATTGGCAAGTTTTCATGCTTGTAAACTGTTCAATAAATGTAACCAAAGCCGTCAAAGATTGAGGAAAAATGTTTACGTTCGTAAGTACTTGCGTAACTAGTTCGTGAATCTGGCCCCAGGTCGCTGGGGTCACCCGCCACAATAACCCTCACCCCCCGCAGGGCCCAAATTTATGTCACCTAGATTTCACAGTACTCTGGGAAACCCGCGCAGGTATGTAAATTACCTGTACTTCGGCCATTTTTTATACACGAGGTTGCAAGGCGACCATTGTTATTGTTGACGAAGGAGATAACATATAGCTCAGGGCTATTGTGTATATGAGGGGGGGGGGGTATGGGGAGGGGGGAGGGGGGGCAGGGGTTTATAGCTATGGAAAAGGCGGAGGGGGCGAATGTTAATACTTAGTGGCGAGGAAACCACTAAACCATTAAACCACTCCTTAGTAAAGGATTACTAACCGGCCCGGTCCCCGACCGGGCCGCGGGGACGTTGAACCCCGAAATCATGGCAAAGTAACCGCAAGGATGATAGAGAAGGGTTACGGGCAAGGAGGTGGGGAAACGGTAAGGGGAGATAATACACATAAAGGGAAAGTACTGTGAGGTAATTAATAGGGCGGGAGACCCCTCACAACGCCCCCTCCCTCCCCCCCATGTGTAAATATAAAAAGCCGCCCAGAGAGACGACCTGACCAGTTAAAGTACCCGTGTAGCCACCACCTCTACCACCACCAGCAACTGCTGCTCTGCTACACACACAGCGGCGCCCTCTACCACTCCTGCACCAGCAGCATGCTGTCCTCCACACCCTCCCTGCTGCTGCTGCTGCTGCTGCCCTGCCTCAGCCTCGTCAGCAGCCTACACCCACACTCTCCTGAAGCTTATGGTGAGTCCTGCTCCGCTACCTCATATTTATTTTTGTGTTTCAGTGTCTCCCGTTGTGTGCCATAGTTTGGATTTTAGTTTATAGTAGCAGGAACACTGTAGTAGGCCTGGTGACCCCATGCAGGAACACTGTAGTAGGCCTGGTGACCCCATGCAGGAACACTGTAGTAGGCCTGGTGACCCCATGCAGGGACACTGTAGTAGGCCTGGTGACCCCATGCAGGAACACTGTAGTAGGCCTGGTGACCCCATGCAGGAACACTGTAGTAGGCCTGGTGACCCCATGCAGGAACACTGTAGTAGGCCTGGTGACCCCATGCATGACCCCAATATATGATATAGACAGATTTTGGGTTCTTGCTTTGATTCACCTGACCAGACTCCGGCGTCGAGCCAGAGTCTATCTGGGGTATTAGGGACAATTAGTTTAAAAGCTTTTCAAGCAGGAATTTAGGCAAGTTCCTATGTTCTCAGTTTTTCCCCAGAATTGCAATCATCTTCAAGACGATAGTATTCTTGAATGAATTGATGAATTCGTCTTTGGGGTCGACTGCTGGATGGAATGGACCTAGTGTGAGGACGGGTTGTGTACCTACACTAACACATACATACACACATACAAGCCCAAACGCCAAAATTCTGTTAATCTTTAAAATCCAACTGAAAAAGATCATGACAAATGGGGGGGTGGGGGTGTTGAACGTTTGACAAGCCGCCGGCTTTCCTGTCCTCATCGAGGCCACTAGTGTTAGTGGCCCTCACGGTGACAAAAGCAGTTCCGCCACTACTGTCGTCTTCCCTGGTCCTCGCGGACACTATTAATTCCCTTCAACTCAACTACCTTTCCTCTATTTCAGGTGAACGTTCGAAGGCCGTCGAGATCGAGGACAACCCAGAAGCCAGGCATCAGGACCTCCACTTGGCCGGGGCCCGAGACCAGGGCTTGAGGAGGGCCAGGTGTCCGGAAGGACAAATCCCCGTGTCCGAGCTGGGAGGCATTTGCCTCCCCATCCATGGAAACGGTGGACCCTCCAAGAATCCCAGCAACATCGACTCCACGGTCGGAAGCAGCGGTGGACCCTCCAAGAACGAAGACAGCACCAAACCGACGGTTGGAAGTACTGCCAAGCCAAGCCAGTGTGGAAAGAAGAGAAGGTGCGCACCAGGCTTTGTGTACAATACTGAAGTTTGTCTCTGCTTGCCCATTTAGGAGAGTACACACACACACACACACAGCACACCAGGAATCTGTACACCAGCTGGACAGTTGAGAGGCGGGACCAATGAGCCAAAGCTCAACCCCGGCAATCACAACTAGGCACGTACATGTACAAATAAGTTTAATAAACTTAGTTAAAAACAATAATTATACGTGTTTTTTTAATCATAATAATAAACCGCATCCGTAAAAATCATAACATTATTGGTAATAATGTTTCAACATATTACTAATTATATCTTACCAAAATCTTCCATTTATAAAATGGAAGATTTTATATTTTTGGAAGATTTTTAGATTTTATAACCCATCGTAGAGCGGCCGGCGATGGGTTGTTGATTTACAGGTGGAGTAATGATGGTCAGCAGGGGGCCAGAGGCTGCACTCCAGGACGAGGTGCTGACACCTCCTGGTGGAGTGGGAGAGCTCGTAGCACTTTAAGCACTACTGGAGCTGTGACATCGTTCCTTCTTCATTTAGTGTGACGGTGGTATCTTGATGCCGAAGCGGTAGAAGCCTCGTGTGGCAGCCTGAGCCGCCATAACAGATTCATCGTCACTGAAGAACACAATGGTGAACACGCCCATGTTCGGATTTTCGGACGATATTCGTACTGATCTCACTTTCTGTGAGGTCAGTTATCCATGGGTTGGTCCTGCTGGTAAAACCTGATCTTTCGGCAAGGAACTGACTTACGTAGTTGAGATAGCGACTATCTCTAGGTCGCAGTGGCAATGTATGTTTGGTGAGAAGGTTTTTGGCTCTCTGGTACTCCACAGGACAATGGCTATTACATAAGGAGGCCCACCGTCTACTCCAGAGTATGTTCGGGAAGATAGTGGGGGCTGACTTCCTATGGTAATGGGCCTTCGCCTAGTGGGGGGGGAGAGAGAGAGAGAGAGAGAGAGAGAGAGAGAGAGAGAGAGAGAGAGAGAGAGAGAGAGAGAGAGAGAGAGAGAGAGAGAGAGAGAGAGAGAGAGAGAGAGAGAGAGAGAGAGAGAGAGAGAGAGAGAGAGAGAGAGAGAGAGAGAGAGAGAGAGAGAGAGAGAGAGAGAGAGAGAGAGAGAGAGAGAGAGAGCGAGAGCGAGAAAGAGAGAGAGAGAGAGGGGGAGGATGGGTGTACGACCGTCCGCGGCGGCTGCTCGCAGTGCAATGGGTGCATGGAGGTCTGTCATCCCATCTCTCTCTCTCTCTCTCTCTCTCTCTCTCTCTCTCTCTCTCTCTCTCTCTCTCTCTCTCAATTTCTGAAAATTTAATACTCTAAGCGCTCAGTAGTCTGTATTCGCTGTTTTCGAGTAAAGAGCAACCATGAAAATGCGTGTATTTATTTTCTATTGACGCATTTAGGTACATCTGCATTTGTGCAGCTGTCCTGTGGACTATATGAAGCGTAGATAAACTGCGGGAGATAGCACGTACTCTACGGAAAACACATCCTTGATTTCAGGCTTTATTTCATAAAGATTGCAACAAGTTGCTATAGATACCAATATTTCTTAAAGATTGGCGCTGGAAGTGACCTACGACACTCCCATAACCTCGGTGTGTCATCTTGCAAAGTTGGACTAGACTACCTGTAAGCGTCTGGCCCCCAACCTCAAACAGCCAGACTCACAAGCTATTTTATAGACTATAATAGTTATGTATAGTATTGTTTCACTGTTCAGCTACTCGGAACAAGTTCCAAGTAGCACGGGCTATGGTGACCCCGTAACTTACCTGACACAGGAGCGGGGGCAGTAGCACGGGCTATGGTGAGCCCGTAGTGGACTTACCTGGCACAGGAGCGGTGCTGAATGATTGTTTCACCCACTTGTATATATTTATAACATCTACGTCATAGATCGATTGCCTAATGAGGGATGGTTCTGGAACCCACATGGTTCTACTAGCCTGGTTCTACACAGGTTCCCTGATCAACACCCGGCAACACTCGTGGTGCATATTGTGTAGTTTTCTTCAAATCCTTGAATATGCGGTCATAAGTTGCCTGGAGTCAGGCATGCCCACCCTGTTCGACTGTATCAGTGATGGCTCTTCCAAAGAAACAGTTTGGCATCTACTATCCTCTAATGTAGTTCACCTCTTATTATAGTCTTCAGGATTATTACTCTCCTCTTACCACAACCAGAAATTCAGTAGCCAGAGAGGAAAATAAAAAATGAATACTCTTCCAAATAAAATTAATCTTTACTTGCATGACAAAAGAAAAAACAAAATAATAATAAACGATAAACTATACTCATTTCCCAACAAATTTTCTGTTTAGGCTATCACTTGATAACAATTACTAAGTGACTGCCCCGTCACTCTACTTTGGTTATCGAATAAACGCTTGTGTCCACACTGATGATTTTATTAATAAAGGTTCGATCTTGTCTCCGTAAAATATGATAATTGGACTAGAGTTCAGAATTCGTCTGTTTCCAACTGCGGGGCGCAAGGATGAGGCTTCACCTCTTTATCAATGGTCAGGCTATCATAGGCGACATCCAATCTTGTAACCTGGCCAAAGTTGTCTGGTGAAGTCTGCCAGCTCTTGACAACATCCAGTGAAGTCCTTCTGTTGCTTAAAAACTAGGAGTTGAACCACAGCACAGGGTCTCTGCTCATGCGTTGAGATTTGAGCTAATGTCAGAATCCTCTTCAAGAAGGCTAGTGAGTAACTGGCTTTCTAACAGCTTGCAAACGGGAGTTTAGATTGAGGACGAGTCTATGAGCTCGCTATCTATTAGCAAACATTCTGCTCTATTTTGACATGTTTGTGTGTCATGTGACGTCATTATTATTCCGGCCACCATATTATTCCGGACGGTTCTATGGTGATCAGCATATGCACTAGGCTACCTCCCTTAATATGCGCACGTGAAAGGTAGCCAAGTGAGTACAATGATGGTGTTGGGTACCACAATAGTGAGTCGAGAGTAGGGTGCTGGGGAGAGGACTCCCAGTGAATATTTTATTTATGGTAAGTAGGTAATTATCAAACAAGACACCAAACCGGGAAGACTATGTAACACCAATTCTGAGGTTACTATTAGGTTGTGTTTGTGTTCTAATGTTGTTATATGCCCCTAGGAGTATGTCTCCTGAATCTATCTGGGTCTCACTCTCAGAGTTACCGCAGTTGGTCTGATCTCTTTTCTCACAAGAATACAAATACATGAACCATGAAGTTCAGCTCACCGACCCCGCCCTGTTCTGCAGGCATCCATACAGAGTAATTCCAGAGCAGAGGGCCATCACCCGTCGGGTGGGATAGTTATGGATTAGTCTATAAACAAGTTATAATATGGATTATTTTGGTCAAATAAGACGGCGCCTGATAGAGCTTTTTAAGTAATATCCGTCAAGGACAGTGTACAACGAATTAAAGGATACCTATGACATCGTATTTCATCGAGACTGTCCGTGAATAGGCAGCCTCAGCCCTTCACAAATTTCAAGCCTTCGATAATTTGAAGGACCGACCCAAATTCTGAGCCGGTGATGTTATTGCGACCGAGGTTACCCGTGGACCCCCTCTTACGGACACCTCATCATCTGGACGATGTTTGCTGGATAAGACTGAGGAGAAGTTCCGTGTTCATTGTATGGCAGGAATTGCTGTTCACTGCCAGTGGTTAATGTGGGACACTTGACCTGTTTCCTGTACAAGTTTCTGGAGTTCACAATAAGTATCCTGGAGTCTGGAGAAGCAATCCTGGGGCCAGATTCACGAAGCAGTTACGCAAGTACTTACGAACGTGTACATCTTTCCTCAATCTTTGACGGCTTTGGTTACATTTATTAAACAGTTTACAAGCATGAAAACTTACCAATCAACTGTTGGTATTGTTATTAAACAGCCTTGTGGGACTTCGGAGCTCATTAACTGTTTAATAATTGTAAACAAAGCCGCCAAAGATTGAGAAAAGATGGACAGGTTTGTAAGTGCTTGCGTAACGGCTTCGTGAATCTAGCCCCTGATTCTGTGCGACGTACTGTGCTCCGGACGCTAGGCTACCAGCCGTGTGGTCGTACTAGGTTCAACAGGAGAAGTCGTGCCGTTTGTTCCGTTACTGTTGCAGAAATGTTGAAGTGTCTTGTCAATGCGAGGCGACAGACAGTGGAAACTTGCATTAACTGCTGCTAGTTATACGTAAACAACTGTTTAAAGAATTACTCCGGAAAGTGAGCAGGGCGGGTTGGGAGAGGCGGAGGGTGGGTGGGGGAGAGATAGGAGAGAGGGTGGGTGAGTGGGGGAGAGATAGGAGGAATGGGTGGGAGGGGGAGAGATGATGGACAGGTCACGACATATATGACACAGTCATCAATGTGTTGATAACATGGTCACGAGGTTGGGTACTATCAGCCGTCCTCACTTCGTAAGCTCACCTCCCCCCCCCCCCACATACCAGCAGTTGGCGTCGCTTTGTACCCTGGTACGACGTACACCCTCCTATTCCTCCACCCACACCCACACCCCGAGCGACCTCGTGGCCCCACACCCCGAGCGACCTCGTGGCCCCACACCCCGAGCGACCTCGTGGCCCCACACCCACACCCCGAGCGACCTCGTGGCCCCACACCCCACACCCCGAGCGACCTCGTGGCCCCACACCCCACACCCCGAGCGACCTCGTGGCCCCACACCCCACACCCCGAGCGACCTCGTGGCCCCACACCCCACACCCCGAGCGACCTCGTGGCCCCACACCCACACCCCCACAATGGTCCTACTCTGAGAAGTCTTAAAACTAGTACTAAGCAGACCTGTCCCCTGTGACCGACGTGGTATGGTTAACTTTCCGGTTGTCTCGTGTACCAGCCACCACCAACCGGTTTAAACAACCGGTTTGGCGCCCTGCCTCCGTAATCATTAGTTAATGTTACTGCGTATGCAGGCTGTGTTTGGTATGCAGGCTGTGTTTGGTATGCAGGCTGTTTGGTATGCAGGTCGTGTTTGGTATGCAGGCCCGCATACCAAAACACGGTTGTACCATACCTTCCGCCTCCAGTCAGGAGGGCAGGGTGCCCAGATACCCTGAGGCAGGAACACAGTGCTCCGCACATCCCTCACTCCACATATACCATGTGTGCTTTTAGCTTAAGTCCCCGAAAGACATAACCAGCTTACTGCAAGGATCACAGCTTGTAAGAGGCCG